CCCAAAACTAAAAGTTTGTTTTGTGAGTAGGCCTACTAGTACAGTAAAGGTCAAATACAGATTATTTCAGTTCATCGAAATGCTGCACCTTAATGTTTATTTGATTTTATTTTGTATTTATTTGAGTGAATATTCACTGTTTAATAATAATTAAAAACCCAAAACTAATAGTTTATGTTTTGTGAGTATTAGTACAGTAAAGTTAAAATACAGATTATTTCAGTTCATAGAAATGCTGCACCTTAAATGAAGATTTTATTATATTTTGTATTTATTTGAGTGAATACATTATTCACAGTTTAATAATAAAAAAAAATATATATATATTTTATGTTTTGTGATAATATTTTCTGCTGTACCGAAAACGTACCAAACCGAACCGTGACCTAAAAACCGAGGTACGTACCGAACCGAAATGTTTGTGAACCGTTACACCCCTACTACACATGCATCCATAGACTCATGCACAATGTAAGTGCTCTCACCCCGAAGCAAGAAGAAGTTGTCGGGGTGGAGCAGCTTGAAGCCAAAGAGGGTAAGGATGACCTCGAGGGAGAAAGAGCCACGATCTACAAAGTCGCCGTTGAACAGCTGAGTTCTGTGGTTAAGCATTACAACACACAAGTATTGAGGATTCTACCTGTAGTTATTTTAAACACAGAATATTACAAACGAGGAGGAGGAGGACTGCAAGCACAAATGTAGATGAAAAAAGGATACATAGGGGTTGGTCTCTGAGGGTAAGCCGTTCAACTTGAAGATGTTGAGAAGATCGTAGTATTGTCCATGGGTGTCTCCACAAATTGTTATCTTCTCTGTCTGTGGCAAAGAAACATAACATTTTGAACTTTGTGACACTAACAACCAAGTCCTATTATGGGCTGATCAAGAATAGAAGTCTACTGTTGCTTTGTTGTACATAACACATTAGCAACTTTTAGTTCCTTCCCTTATGGTTATCTGCAGAGTCCTCACCTCTTTTAACGTGATTTCGACAAGACTTGGTAGTTTTGATAGAAGATCTTTAACTTGCACCAAAATCTGAAAAAGTATGAAAAGGTTTAATAATTACAAGAACAAGTTGACATCAGTTAGTATGTTTCATATAAGCGAACATGTTTACCTGATAAGCACACTTTCTGTGCAGCTTCTTCTGGTCTTTGAACCAATCCATCATGTCCTTCATGAACGTCTCTGTGACCTTCCCATCCTCAAGTTTGGGGCCGTCATAGTCATCCTCAATGGCTGCAATATAAGATTGTCTTCATGTCAGAGGAAAGTATATAGATGTGCAGTAAAGAATCAAATGTTTTACACAATCTTAATTTTCTTTTGTTAACCGCACCAAATTGATTGAGGCACATTTCTATTACAGATGAATACTATTAAACATTTGTAGAACTCACTCATGCTTTCGATGTCCAGAGAGTCCACAACAGATTTTTTTATCTCATCGCTGGCAATGGCTCTCTCAAAAGCCTTCTGTTTTACAATCTTGTTACATTCCTGATACTTCATTTTCGCATCCTTGTCATTTGGTCGAACTTTCACTACCTATGGTACAAATAGGGAAATTAAATAAATGAACCACACTGGTTAATCATCAACTGGCAGATAGGGGAAAATTGACTCAGAGGCACTGCAAAGACCTGCATGTAAACAGTAATACAAGTCTATTTCAGTTTTAAT